GAGAAAAGCTCCATTATAGCTGGCCAAATATTCTTGAATTGTTGAGGTGCTCATCTAGTACTTTGAGTTGCTTTTGGTCTTTAGAGCCATAGTTTTTCAGTCAAGAGAACTTTAAATCTTGAAATGATGCTTTCAGGTCAGTAGCAAACGCTGCCGAGAAGGATCTCATTACTCTTGGATTTCAGGTAACAACGCTAAACACTCAACAAAACTGAGGGTGCAAGTGAACTAGGCTTATCTCATGAGATTTGCGAGCTTGGGTCGATTTTGTCTCAACCAGCTCCTCCATTTATTTTACTTAGTATTGATTGACTCAAGCCAGCTCAAGTAGCAAGGCATCCACCACACATGTTATTCTTTTTCCAATACAAAAAAGAGGAATGTCAATTTGGTTATTAGGGTTAACAACAAACAAAGTATTTAGAGACGGCTTGATATTTCCCATTTTTCCCAGATTCTTTTCGTTCGTTGACTAATTTCTTTTTTGTTGTCCTACCTTTTTAAAGGCATTTTGAGGAAAAGTGTAAAGCGCAACCCCAAAATCATTCATATTTTGCCTCTACTCTTTCATCTCTTCTAAAATACCGCTTAAATAACATGGTTGGTGGTACTGATTTCCCTTCTTTATTGATGTTTAGGTTATGTTCAGTGCATATAAGATCAATTAGAATACTATCGCCCACTCGTTATATTGTAGGTCCGATAGAAGGAGAAGAATAGGGAGCTTTTGATTGAGTTAGGACTGACTTTGTACAGTTAAAGAATTGCTCTTGTTTCTAGTTTCTTTTTGATGCACCCATTAGATTTCTATATGTATAGAAGATTCGTTATATTTTGTAGAGAACCATAGTTTTGGATTGATTCTCTACCTTATAGTATAGTTTTTGTATACAAATATTTTCCACATTTAAAATTGCTTTACAAAAGAAGACGGGTTGGACGGAATGCTTCGACATAATTCATGGTGGCTCACTGATGCAATTAGTATTGGCTATGTTCTACCTTCTTAATGTTTACACTCTGAATGGTGTAACATACTTGAAAGCGAAGCTTTAGCTTACATATGCATCTTTGATGTGAACTGACTGCTACGATTTCTTGCACAGAATCTTCGTGTCATCATGAATGATGGCCT